TTCGAGCTCGTCGAAGCATACAAGAGGATCCATCTCTCGCTTGTGAGCACACTTACTCGCTTAGTAAATCCTATACTATACATTCAATTTTTAAGAAATTAATATTTGTAGCTCATATATTGTATGTCTATTTTTTTCATATTGTCTAATCGAGGCGTAAGCCTATTAATTTAGAATTGTTTGAGGCCACTCACAGGCGAAGAGATGAGACTTTTGTCGATTTATAGGCCCAAAAAATAAATGGCAAGTATTTTTAATTTTTAAATTACATATATGAAAATATAATCTAAAAAATTATTTTATTTTTTAATGTTATAATTATGTTAATTACATAAAAGCATGTGGAGGGGCCGATATCGAAAGCTATTAAGATGTAACGAGAGGTTGAAATTAAGGAGCCACAAGTCAACACAAACACCATATACTTCAAAGTTGTAGAAGGAGAGAAGAAAAAAAGGGTTTATAGGATCAAGTTAAAGGTGTCATAGTATTTATCCCATTTAACTTGGGCCAACTCGTCCTCCATAGTATCGTAGTTCTCCAAAAACAATGTTGTTGATTAGACTCCCAACCAGGTACGAGGAGAGGATGAGGGGAATGTTGATGAGGTTAAAGGAGTAAAATAATATTATCATGCGAGTAGCAAATGAAAAATCTCAAGGATGGAGACTTAGATTTTGTCGATTATAGTGATGTTACATATGCTAATGTAGACGTCCTACTTGCCTATTGACCGCTCCACCAACGATGACTCCACCGTCCCTCCTAACAAGCCTTAAGACTCGACCATCCCTCCTAACGAGCTCTAGAAAGATGAAAGGGGATTAGATGATCATGATATGGAGTAACTTTTACATTTTCTTTTATGTTTTTACACTTTTTGTTGCATACTAACAAATAATTTTTTAATATGAATTTTAATTTCATTTATAATATTTAAATTTTAATTAAAAATGTTAATTTTTTATAATAAGTTGTTTGTTTTAATTGTTAGTGAGAATATCAAAATTTTAAAAATTAAATTAAAAGTTAAAAATTATAATAAATAAATAAATAAAGTTTTGCAATGGATTGGCAATGAAAATGATGAAAAAGAATTAATTTCTTTCAAACAAATAAAGATAAAAAAAATATATATATCACTAATTAACAACAAACTAGTGACGAATTTGCGATCAATATTAGTATCGGATCATTGCGATAATTTTGTTATTTTTTACTTTGCAATGGATTTAAGATGTGTTTGGATGGAATTTCAACTTATTATATGCTAGAAAGATGACAGTTTCGTTGTAAAATTAGCGACGAGTAAAATGAATTAGCAATGAAGTTCCCATCACTAAATTAACGATGAAAACTATTCATTCTATCATAGATGTTAGCAACAAGCATTTTGACAATGGATTCTTTTTTATTGCAAATCTATCATTAAATCAATTTGCCAACAGATTTTGCTTAAATAGCAATGGAATTATATATCGCTATTACGTTGTTTTCGTATAGTACATTTTTCATATACCTCAACTATATATAGTTGAGGTATATGAAAAATGTACTATACGAAAACGACATAATAGCGATATATAATTTCATTGCTATTTAAGCATCTTACTACCATTATAGACAAGGTGATAACATGAATTATTTTGATATTTCATCATTAACATTCATAATTTATTTCTTATGCCCTAACAATCAACAAGGTATATTTCAATTTTTTTCAAAACAATATTTTATTAAAATAATATAATATATCAAAATTTTATTTTCACATGGAAAATAATTGATGAAAAATCCTTACTAAATCATTTACTTTATCAACCAATAATCTGTCAACAAGATTATTATTGCCACGAATACATATTGGTATGAGTGTCAAATATAAATCATAATAACAACTTCAACAAAGTCTCATAAAAATAATTAGCCTTCAAAACACAAATTAATATGTGACATTTCAAGTCTTAATAAATTAATCATATGAATCAACATTTCGGTAATAATTAACTTACAAGCATTCAATAACAAGATGTCATATGTAATCACATTTTCCTTTTTTTTTTTTTTTTTTGAATCACAATTTACAGATTAAAAAAATTAAGCATGAACCAATAAATATTTAGACAAAAATTCAAGATCACATACAAAATAAGTACAACATACTTTTGATGATCTTTCATCATCAAAAGTGAATCTCAAGTGTATAGGATAATAATCAAAGAAATTTAATAATTTGACATGAGTTTTTCCTATTTATAAATACCTTCTACTCTTTGATTTTTTTTTTTTTTTAAATTAAAATCCTCTACTCTTTTTTGTCTTGATTAAAACCTTCTATTTTTCATTTAGTTTTGATTAAGACTCTTCATTATGACACATTTTATTATTAATTCAACATGGCACGAGATTGTTAACCTCAATCAATAAATGATTGACACATGGTATTATAGGTCCCAAAACACTATAAAAGGTCTCAATTAGAATAAATGAAGAGTAAATAGTTTTAAAAAAAAAAGAATAGAGAATCTTCAAACTTTTTTTTTTTTTAGAGCCTATGATAAAAAAAAAAAAAAAACAAAATAATCAATCCTCTCATCGCTACGTATCACCTTTTCTTCTCTATTACTTATTTTATTATTTCTTAATTCACTCATCATTATTTTCTTTTTACTTACTAGATGCTCTTTTTGAGTTTTATCACTCTTGAAGTGATTCTTAGAATTTGCTACTTCTTATTGCATATGCAATGCTTTTATTCATTTATGATTAATTTGTTTGATAAATAACTTAAGAGTGATCTTGATCTAATATTGTGATTTAGAGCAAAATTTGCTAGGAAATATGAGAAGTTTTTCATAGAGTTTATAATTGTGTTGGTTATGGGACACCATTTTACAAATCCGCTACCAAATTTATTTATCAAAAAAGTTAATTATAAATGAATAAAGGAGTTGTATAAGTCCTAAGAAGCAACAAATTCTAAACATTACATTAAGAGCAATGAAACTTAAAAAAACACTTAATAAGTAAAAGAAAAATAATGATGAGTGAATTAAGAAATAATAAAATTGGTAATAGAGTAGAAAATGTAACATGATGTAGTAATGAGATGATTGATTACTTGGTTCTCTTGTTATGAAGAATGCAAAACTACTCTGGAAGAGAACCAAACCCTCTATTCTTTGTCAGTTTCTGGACCAAATCTATCATTGATTGCCTCTGTATATTAAATTTTAATTCTAATTATGCATTTACAGATGATAGTGCATTAAAAGTTTAAAAACTCTTTATTATTATTATTATTATTATTTACTTGATTAAGACCATCTACACTTTATTTAGTTTTTATTAAAACCATCTACTGTGTTGTGAGATTCACAATATCATGTGTTAATTATTCATTGGCTAATTCTAACAATAACATATCATGTTGGATTAATAATAAATGATATCATAACAAAGAGTCTCAATCAAAACTAAATGAATGGTAGAGGATTTTAATCACACAAAATAATAATAATAATAATAAATAAATAAAAAAAAAAAAACGTTGAAAGTCTCAATCAAGCAAATTCAAAGAGTAGAGAGACTATATATAGGTAAAACTCAATTTGACATTTAGAATACTTTAAGTTTTATGAAAATTCAAAGAGTAAAGAGACCATACATAGGAAAAACTCAATTTGACATTCTTTAGTTTTATACTCAGTATCATATATTAAGCTTTATGTAGCCACTGAAAACTACTACTAAACAATTGAAAACCATTGCCTTACGCCTAATGCAATAATTTGCCAGCTGCTACATTCAACCAGCATTGCAATAGATTAATGCAGTAATTACGATGTATAATAGCAAAACATAACTTTTTGTTACATAATATCCTCCAAATACAATGGTTATTTTATTACTTTAGACAAGGGTTTTGAGAATCATATAACATCGGTTTAAGTCAACATATGCAACAGTTCTCACCCTATATAGAACGATTTTTGAGTTATTTTATGCAACAGTTTCTATCAAATAACGTAATGATTTATCTAATATTATGCAACGGTTTATAAATCATTAGCAGTAGTTTTTCTATTATATTAAGCAACATTTTATTTGTTTTAATTCAACAATTTTTCTATATATAAACTAGCCTTTTCTATCTATGATGCAATAGTTTTATAAAAGAATTGTATCAGTTTATCATGGTACTGCAATGATTTCTCTATATATAAACTAACCCTTTCTATATATAATGCAATAGTTTTATAAAAGAATTGCAACAATTTATAATAGTAATACAATTTTTAAAGTATTTAATATAATAATTTGCAATATTATTGCAATAGATTTTTGTCTAATTGCAACAAATTTTTAGCCAATTGCAATAATTATCATGTTATTTGCAACAATTTTTAAAGACAATTCCAAATATTAATCAATTATAAGAAAAGTAATTATCTAAGCGCTTTCTTAACACAATTCCAAACATTAGTTAATCTATTACAAAAAAAGAAAATAATAATAATCCAAAAAAAAAAACTAAAAACTAAAAAGCACAACAAAAGATCAATATTTGGGGGCAAAAAAAGGTTCAAAGTTTCTAGTAGGCAAATTCAGGAGACTAAATTACAAAGTTCAAAAAGCATAATAAGAGACTAGAGTGTCAATCCTGTAGTTCCCTCCAAATTCCAGTAGTTCACAATACTAGGTAAACTGTAATTTTAGAAAAAAAGAAGTTAGCACTAAAGCATGTGGAATCCTACAATTTGCACATGATGTGAAGAGAAATAAGAATATATCTATCATGAATTCATAAAAGCAAACAAGTAAATGATTTGTTTACTCTGGCTTGCAATCAACTGGGTGTCACAGATCAATTTAACATCTAAGCTGCTGTAGGTAGCAACTTTTAGAAAGTATGGAGCCAATTAGCCAAACTTGTATGAACTGCACTATTTTCTCTATACAAAAAAAAATATAATATTCTATAATTAAATGATTCACATCTAACTTGTTAGTTGTATCCAGGCCTCAACTCCAACAGTCACTAGATGTCTTTTGTCCAAGCTTTTGATATATGCGGCTATCTCAGCAATCCATATCTTAAGCCAAACCAAAAACACTAAAATGATCTCAATCACATCTGATTCAAAAGTAAACCAAAAAAATTGCCTAACCAATAACAGAACAAACACATCTTTTTGATATTATACAATGACAGACATGAACAAACCATCCCACAATCATAGAGACCTAGACAAAATGATATTTGGCTCAAAATGACTCCATCAAACAACATCTTCACCTCTCTCTCCAGATTCTAGCCTAAACCTTTAGTTTATTTTTCAAATTCAATGCCAAAATATAAACCAGAACAAAAATTCAATGGTTCAACTGAAGAACATGAGCAGAAGAACTGGATGCACACTGAGGTTCATTCATGAGCCCCCAAACAAAATTACTGGTTCCTCAGAGCACCTAACTCCACTAAATGAATTCTTTCTATTCACAACTGCCTGGAAAATGTGCATAACAGGAATTTGCAGTCAAGAGATTGTCATAAAGCAGGAAGAGAAGAATAGATAGATGAGTCTCCCAATCTTGAATGTCAGTTCTTGTGAAACTTCATTACTCTTAGTAACATGGCAGTAATTTAGCCTATATTGATCTAATAGATTGTGCAAAATCAAATTTCATACGGTAAGTTATACCATATAAGCTTAAATTGAATAATTAAGTTTAAACAAATAGAGTTATTGCAACATTCAGCCATATTCAAACTCTAGATCATTTCAAAATCGTATAATGCCTGTAAGTCAAAATCTTCCTACAATCAATTGTTGATTCCTCATATTATCCAATTAACGGAAAAATACTATCTCACCTTAATATAAGCCTTGCAGTAATCTTTGATAACTGGGTTTGAAAAGAATGAGTCATCTGATGAAGAGACAGTAATTCCAGCTTCTTTTGCCCATTTTACATACTATTTTTTTTTCCACCAAAAGCAATCAGATTATTCACTAGACTGAGAATTAACCTTATATGATTCCTCTTTGGTTCAACTATTACATAGTCTAATCCTTGCAGAAAAAATACCTCCATTAAACACAAATAGAAACCAAAACTACTTCAAGATTCTTCCTTCTCGTTTCATATAAAAAGCCCATCTGCCTTTAATAAGGCCCTTTATTAGTCTTAACCTCCCCTTCAAGATTTGACAGTTAATTGAAAGCAAAAATCTCCAATTTACAACCTAAAATATCAAAAGTAACTTTCTTTTTTAGAGGGAAAAAAGATTTCAAACTTACCCTAAAGACCCTCTCATTGAAGACACCTGGAGAGACCTGCAAAGCAGCAGGACCATAACCATCACTGAAAGCCCAAGTCCTTCAAAAAGTCAACCCCATTTGAGCTCCTCTCTTAAGCATATTTGAAGCCTTTAATTTTGATGAACTCCACACACTCTCCATCATCAAAAATGATACAAAGGGACGAAGGACAACTTCAGCGTTAGGATGCTTCCACTTCATTACCTGATCAAGAGCATTAAACCATAAGCTGATTAGCAACTGACTTGATCCTTTGGATTTGGGTGCAGCTAAAGAGTCCATATTCATCCACACCACAATCTGCTACACTGTCTCAATCCAAAATTTTAGAGCTATTAGAAACATAAATTATACTCATATTATAATGTAAGATAATATATATATATATATATATATTCCCTTTACCTCTCCCTAGCATCAGACTCATTTTTTTACAGCACTATCAACAACTGCACACTGATCTTTGTCTGCTGATGTATTACTAGAACTGGGAGCACTTTCATTATCAAGCAATAAATTTCCAGCTATAATGGCCAATAAGTAAAGTGCACACATCTGATTCTCTTCATTTTTTTCTTAAAGGAACCCCTCCTCTAATAGCATTTGTGGTTCCAATTTTAGAAAATACACAATTTGCCCAATCACTCAAGCTTTCAAACCCCAAGAATAAAACCCTGGCAACAAGTGAATGCAATCATTAAGAGATGATTTGTTCAATGAATGGAGTGAAAAATGATCATTAGGTACAAAACCAAAATCCATGGCTACAAAGCTCAACAACAGAAAACTTTAAAAACTAAGATAAAAAGAGTTCTCTCTACTAGAAAATTTAGAATGGTAACAATTAAACACATGTACCAGCATCAAACAAGAGAAAAATCCTTAAAACCCTACATGTAAAATATCAAAAAAAAAAAAAAAAAAAAAGGCCACTGCATTCAGCTTTATACTTGGAGAAATGCTTTACATACATTGTATCTCCTCAGTCCATGTCCATGTTACTCCTTTCTTTATTTCATGCTCAGAAGCTCAAGTCATCATTCCTCGTTTGCCTCCGGGACTGAATACTGAAAATTGTAGTGAAAAAGGATAGCAGGAGGGATTGGGATCAGCCCTGCTTCTAAATCACTAACATCTTCCTCCAATTCACTATAAATTTTGATCACATCATTGATAGTGAGAAGAAATCATTTTCAAATAGCTTGCTCTAACGGGCAGCAAAGGTCTTTGTGGCTTTGCCTTGTCTCCATATAAAGACATTCCAGCACTGTAATCTTGTAACAAAGATACAATAACCAATTTGATGAAAAAGCAATTCTGACATTGTGAAACACATTTCACATTACAATTTCTAACAAAAACTGAGTCGATTTTAAAGGTTATAGTTTGCAAAGCTTATATATCTATCACCAATGGTCAATTTGGTGTATCCTTCATCCTTAAAATCCCACAAAATTAAAAATTACATGCCAATTCAATGCATATTGATAAGAATAGAATGTGTAGGATGTCAGCAACGTAAGCCAAAACCCCACATCCATAACTACCAACATTGATAACAAGAACTCAAAAGATTCAAACTTGAACTCGAAACAGTTAAAAACAAAAAAATGTAAGACAAAACAGTAAAATCATAATAAATTAAGATAAATATACCTCAGGTTCCATGATGTCCTCAAATTGAGGTGGTATCCAGATGGCAAAACCATCACCTTAGAACTGAAACTAAGATTTTATATTGGCAAGGGTAGAAAGTACGGATTTGAAGGTGAAGAAAATTCAGCTAAAAAAAAGAAAAAAAAGGAAATACTAAGCACAATCATCTTGATTGAACAATTAAATCTGTCCATGTGAATTAACCAATAGCCAGACCTAAGGAGAGAAATTAAAAAAAAAAAATTACATACAATACCCAGATGTAGGGAGAGAAATTGAAAGAAAATTACACACCTAAGATGATGAAAAAAAAAAAAAACCAAAAACCAAGAAGGAAGATAGAACTTTTGCCCTAAGAATTTTCCTCCATCTTTCAACGAAAAACCAATAAAACTTTTCCCTAAATTCATAGTTCTCTAGACTTGAATTTAAATCACGGGTTTAATTAAACCAAGTGATCAATTGAGGAAATGAGATGAATCTGAGAGAGATCAAAACTGAATGAAAAAAAAAAAAAAATTGAATTTAGCGAGTGTGAGAGAGAGAGAGAGAGAGAGAGAGAGAGAGAGAGAGAGAGGAAATCTTGACAAAACAAAACAAAATGATTGAACGGTTCTAAATCGTTGCATCAATGTTTGATATGCTGCGGTTTAAACGAAGCGCTGCTTATTTAAAACAAATGGAGCCATTTGGGCAGCAGTTTAAGTGGATCAGTGTGTTGAACTAAAATTTTACTACAGAGATTTGAAGCCATATTCATATCAGCAATGAAATTAAAATCACCGCTAATAAACAGCTGCTTAATATTCAATATGTAGTAATGACTTACCGTACCATCAGTATGATTGGAGATTTGAAATATTTTTTTATATCCATAAAGCTCTCATTGTCTCTAATGACACATAAATTTGTTTTTTTTAATTTTATATCCAATATGATTGATGTATTTATACAAAAATATTGGATATACTATTTTTATTGACTTCTCATTTACCTTGTAACATGATATAAAAAATAATAATAAATAATTTCAATGTCAATTATCATTATCAATGTAAATAAATATATAAATTAATTTTTAATTTATTTATATTTGTGTCAATAATAAAATGCACATAAATAAATCAACAACACGGTTAATATCACAAATGCTTAACTTTCAGCATCACCACTAATCATTTTGAATACTAATATTTAATAGGTCACCATAAGTTACAGAATGTATTACAAATTAATATCTTTGTTGTGCAAATTATTATTATTATTTATTATTATTATACTTGCTTTATGTTTAGAATCATCAAACACTAATTATTTCATGATAATTAAAACCCCAAAACTAGGCAAGTATTGACATTGATATCACAAAAAAAAAAATAATAATATTAAATTTTCATATCCGAATTCTTCTTATGATTTTAATATTAAAGCATAGGCATGGTATCTATTGTCTCATATTATTGTTCCTCGCAAATAAAAATAGAACATAATTAAATAATAAAATTCACACAATAAATAAATTATAAATTAAGATAGACAAATGACGTAGTGGAAGCTCACAAGAAGGAGGAATATTGTTGATATGAAAACTCACACATGAATTCTAGATACTGGTCTACTACAACTCGTCGAATTGCTTGCAAATACCGGGAAGTATGCTTTAATTCCGTTGATTCAAAAAATGCTATCTCATAAAATTTTATTAGCTAAGAAAAGTAACGTTTTTTTTCCTTTAATTCGGACATAAATAGGAAAAAAAAATCCACAAAACCCTAAATTAACTCAAAAGGGAAACAAACACAAAAATAAAATAAAAAAAGAAAAAAATATGAAATACAATAAAAGTTGATTTTGAGGGTCTAAACAGTAATTTTTTTTTTGTGTAGCAAAACCACCTCTACATCATAGGCATAGCCGATGAGTTTTGTCTCGTTGGTCCGTTTGGCATCAAACTAGGCTAAAAAAATTTCAAAATTGAACCGATAGTTTTTTTCAGCTCTTGCCGCATTCATACCGTTCCATGAATTCCAATGACCGTTGATCCGCATCAATAAAGAAATAAAACTTTTTACCTTGATGATTACGAAAATTAGGAATTAAAATTATATTACCATGTTTTATAAAGATGATTGAACCATCAAAGTCATCATAATTGAATAAGTTGAAGATGATTTGAATATTACTTGAAATAAAAAATGTAAAAAACACCAAAATAATAGTCTTCTTATTATTATTTTTTTAGGTGATTGTCTCAATGTGCAATTAAGTTTTTTTTAAAAAAACAATAAGCACTTGTCTATAAATGTTTTTTGATATAACGGATCAAATATATGTTGCACGTCATCTTAAAAATATAATAGGTTCAACTACTTTTTTTGTATTTTAAAAAATTTATATTACTTGTAAGACTTCAAACTTAAAATAAAATAATACTATTCTTGTCCAAAGAAAGAAATAAATAAAAATTATATGGCTATTGGTGGGAGTATAAGAAAAACAAACGAAAGACTTTTTTTTTTTTTTTTTTAATAACAATGATATATATTTTGCTCTGTTGAGACAAGAAGAACAAATATAAGTTGTACAATAAAGTTTAAAATCGAAAACGTAAGCTGGTCACTTTCTTATGTGTGTATATTTTTTATTCCTTAGGAACCGTACATGCATCTTTTTTTCTTTTTTCTTTTTTTCTCTAGTGAATAATTTCCAACTTCTCTTTTAACGAATAACAAAGGGGTTTTTTCTCCATTTTTTCAAGAAAGATGTTTTTTTTTCACTGGTTTTCCTATAAATAAAAAAACAATTTCATGTGTTTTTTTTCCAATTGCATCCTATCTTATCATATCATAGTTTGTTCTACCATATTTGAGAATCACCATCAATAAGGTAAGTTCGATATAATTCTTTATTCCAAGTCTGAAGCTATTTTTAATTACAACCAGCCAATTGAAAAATTTCAGACATGCTCGCACTAGCAACTAGTCATCGATTCTCCCAGAAAACCACAATTGTTATTTAAGTAAAAACAGTAACAAAGGGCTTGAAAAGACATGCTGAAAATGGTAACATAGGAAAACGATCGATTGAAACGGTTCTGAAACAATTTAAAAAACTATGTACTGCTTTTTCTTGAAACGCATGCCATGCATTGAATATTTTATAAAATTATTTCAACAGAATCAAGCAATAATAATAATAATAACAACAACAACAATGCTTCATATGTTTCTGCGATGGAGTTTAATGAAAAGAGTTAGCAAATGAATGGAGACAAGACGAATACAGATCACTCGTGCCAACAATTTAATAGCGTCATCAGCTTTTAATAATTATCTAGAAATTATAATCATGGTCTAAGTCAATGATTTGTTTAATGCAGTTTGCAGTTATTAAGACGATCCAGACAGACCATAAGTTTGAAGAAGCTGAAGCTACATAAAATACTAGAGAGGTTAATGTGGCGATAGGAGAGAGAAGAATTGTGATGACTCTTCTTCTTATATTTTTAAAAATCACAGAAACGAAAAATAGCAAGACAGCTCACACTGATCATGACATAACATTCAAGGACTTAAAAATTTGCATATAAATGGAACTATGTTGGCCAAGGATAGGACAAGGTAACCGAATTCAAAGGAGAGCCCAATCAACCTCACATGGGTTGGCCAAGGATAGCAAGACAGCTCACACTGATCATGTCTCCTTTCGTTATCTTCTTGTGTCCTGTAAAAACGGAACCACGTCATGGGTTGAGCATCTCAGTTTCAAACTTTCTCTGATCACAACAAACTGTCCTGCGAAAAACAGATAAAAACAATCGTGGCTATTAAGCACCATGTTAGATCAATTAGTTTGCCTTCAAGATCACATCCGACCACATTTATAATCCAACAAGAGCT